GCATGCCTCCAAGATTGGACATTAGGAGGAATTTCCTAATGGTAAAAGCAGTTTGACCGTGGAATTAGAGCTTGCCAGCTTTGCTTCACTGGATATGTTTAATAGAGGCTGGAAGCAGCTGTTTGTGTCAGAAACTATGACAATGCCAAGATAACAAACAGGCAATTACGATGTATATATGTCACAATTATATATTAGTTGTCAGACTTCCTGCAGTCTTGATTGGAAGCAAGGAATAAGAATTCGATCTTTATTTGAAGGAAGATAAAAATGATTAACATACGTGCTCTAAACAAACATTATTTTCAAATGAGAAACAATTTAGATTAGAACAACAAAACTCTGCTCTTCCCTGCCTGGAGCTTCCATAGAGCAGATTGTTTGGCTCCATCTTCTGAGAAGGAAGGGCATCTTCCATTTCTCCAATAATTTAACGGTTGATAGCTGTTTTAGCCGCGTGAAAAATAACCCTCCCACTTGTGCCATGAGATCTGATATAAGCATATAAATTGCAACATTGGTGCAGTGACACTATAGGTAGTCCTCGACTTATGGCCACAATTGGGAACAGAATTTCTGTTGTTAAGCAAACGAGTCATGCCTGATTTTATAACTTTTTTTGCCATGGTCGTTAAGCAAATCACTGCAGTTCAATGAATCATGCGGTCAGTAAGCAAATCCAGCTTCCCCCATTGACTTTGCTTGTTGAATGTCAGCTGGGAGGTTGCTTATATTGAACATATCATCGCCCATCAAACAGTATGTCATCAAAATTTACCATATTCATTACATTGATAACGATTCTCTAATCTTACAATAATAATTATCAGCATTATCACTCTTCATTTCTCACCCTTAACATATTTTCTAATGAAAATATAATATAATATTAGGTATAATCTTAATGATCATATTAATAATAATCATCATATTGGTTACATCTCTATCTTAATTCTTTATTCCACTGATCTCCATTTCTGTTTTTATTCTCCAACCATCCATAAAATACCTCCCATGTCATCTAATATTAAGTTTGTTCTTTTTCCTTGATAGCAAGTGTTAATCTGTTTATTTCTGCACATTCTAATATTTTCCTAATCACATTCTCATCTGTAGGGATGTTATCACTTTTCCAATTTTGAGCAAACACAATGCTAGCTGCAGTTAATACCTTTATAATTAAATACACATTTTCTTTTCCATTGTATTTATTTTGTACAATGACAATAAAGTCTATACTATACTTTACTGTACTTCCCACTGGGGAGGCTGCTAATGGCGATTGTGTAAGCCTCAGACACTGCAACCCTCATAAATATATATGCCAGTTGCCAAGCACCAAAATATTAATCACATGATTGTGAGGACTGTGCTGCACTGTATGATTACCAGTTATAAATAAATTATAACTTCAAAACAGTTGCTAAATGAATGGTTATAAGTCGAGGACTACCTGAATTACACATGCCTTTTGATTTGGGTCCTTGCACTCAGCAAGGTTGATTCTGAGTGGTACTCTCTGTGTGTGAGAGAGAGGGGGGGTCTTCTTTCTGACTCTACCCATTCCCACATCTCTCTTCTCATCTACATATAATTTTTATTGAAAGGTTTTTTTACACAAATAAAACTAACCTGAAAATATCTAAAGCAGAATGTTAATTTTTAAAAAAGATGAAAGAAAAAATGCAGAAAGGAAAAACATAAAAGCAGCAGCATCCAAATTTCTTTGCAGCAGTTAAAAACAAGCTTATTTTCTCACTCTCCCTTTAAAGTTTTCATGCATATTTCTCCTCTTCTCATATTCAACTTTTTTTTTTAATTAACAGAAATAAAAACCACCCAGGTCATTTTTAACTGTTTTCAGCAGCAGCAACAACAACAAAAATCCATCAAGGGTTTTCAATCTTTTATGAAAGCATTTATTATTTTACATGTGGTTAAACAAGTTTATTTTGTATTCTTTCCTACTAGAAATCTTCCAATACCAAGTTTCCCAATCTTGGCAACTTTTAAGACATGTGGACTTCAACTCCCAGAATTCCCCAGCCAGCCATTTCCCCATGCTGGTTGGGGAATTCTGGGAGTTG